GTAAATACTTTATTTACTTTGCCAAGGTAAATAGTAAATAATATATTTACTTTACTGAAGTAAATAGTAAATATTTTATTTACCTATTTACCAGTAAAGTAAAAGTAAAGTGCCACCCCTAAAGACAATATATTAGTGCTAGCTGTGCACTTTCAACCAATGATTTTCAATCTCAAGCCACAGTTAACCTTTAAAACGAAATCCTTTAGATATGATTTTCTTAAAATTTGATATTTAACGAAAAAAATTATCTTCCAGAAAATTTCTGGTAAACACATGTTGGATATATAGACTTTATTTTTCAGCCTGGAAAATCCAGAATAAGCTCCACTTCTAATTGTGAACCCAAAGGTAAATCAAAATGGTCACCTAGAATTCTATTATTTAAGCACAAACATATGTAGTGAAGTTTTGCGGAAGGACAATAGCTGTCATCTTTTTTTCTGCCGCTCTGCCCATCATGTATTTTGGGGAAGGCAAGACACCTTGAAATTTTACATGTACCTGGTTCCTACGCTCAGCATATATTTATTAAGTACTTTATAATAATTCTTATCATTCAATCAAATCTGTCCGTGAACACCCTCGTATATGTTTTATATCTGTCACGTATCCCAGAAAGCACTCCTAAACTCCACCTTTGTAAATCATTGGAAATTTGACGAGCATGGCAGCTTTTGCCATTGGACCATGAAGAGGTAATCCGTGAGATCATAATTACATTATACAAAACATTCTCCAACTTAAATAAAATGTCTAGAACTGGTAGATCATTTATAGATGTTAAAACCTTTAGCGTCAGTTTGATGACTAGCAAGAACCCGTGCATACTGCACGGTAGTTCTTATCACTGTACACTGATTTTCTGCCAGAATTAAGAGATTAGAAGGTATATATAACTAAAATCTCTGCCACTCACAGAAACCGAATAACATTTTGTCAACATCCTTTGATAACCGCTCTTTGAACAGAGTTTCAACAAAAATTCTAGAGACTTCTGGAATATTCTAGGAACTATCATTTCATTGCTCATTTGTCACCTTTAACATTTGATTCGGCACAGATAAGCACACACACAGAACTGTATACATAAAGATTATGCTACTGTTCCATTATAACATCATGATTCATGATTTCATTCCATAGTATCTTATTTCTTTTTTTCTCTTTATTCCTTTTTTTAAATCTATTTAAGTCGTCAATTTTTGGTTATCGTTATTGCTTAAGTTTTGCTCTCCGAAACAGTAGGCTTTAACCGTTAAATAAAATCAGCAACAAAGCCATCAGATCAATCAAAGGTTTCTAACAGTTTCTTGACCATTGAAAAAATCTCTTTTAAATACACTCGGTTGTCGACCTTTCTGGGGCAACGTGGTACATATCAAAAAATATCAGAACACACTTTCTCTTTTTGAAACTTTTGAAATAGCCCTAATACACTTCATGAAGACCCACCTTCGTGCTCTTGAAAATTCTGGCACATTCTAGGAGGTTCTAAACCCCTCCCCATATTAGAAGCCCCGGGGGGCTTCTAATATGTCTCTGAAAATCGAACCCTTTTTCGAAAAAATCCCCCTACCCCTATAGGGAGTTTTCCCAATAATTTTGCCGTAGACGGGGCTTCTAATATGGGGGGAGCTTCTAATACGGGAGGGGCTTCTATTAAGGGGAGGGGTTTACAAAGGTCTATCTTTCTTCTCTCTAGAAAGTTCTGAAATATCTGCGAAGACGTCGCAGATATCTTTGATGTTCGCCTCCTGAAAGTTCAAGAATATTCCAGAAGGTCCCGTGAAGAATCCGCCCCCTTTTTCTTTTTCGAAACTTCTGGAACATTCTAGAAATTTCCAGAGACCCATCTAGCAGAATCCAGAATGTTCTGGATGCTTTCTTTGAGTCTCATTGATCACATTCCAGAAAGTTCTAGAAGCTCATATATAGCAGTGGAAGCAACAGGTCACATAATATNGGATTGGTTTGAATTCTGCAATTCATCGGCGCCTACACCCACACATACCTAAATTCGGAATCAGGTCTAAAATGATCACGTACGTTCTCCGGCTGTCTTACGATTGAAAGTCGAAACCGGGCGATGAGTCTTCTACACCACGAGATAGAGCAAGAGACGCTCTACAAAACCCATTATACCCCAGTCCACCCAAATTCGGCAGAGCTGAGCAATAGAGGAGTCAAATTCATGAAGGTGTGCTCCTTCATAGTCTCATTTAATTAAACCGACGTATTTGGTTTACATATAGCTTGATACAGCGGAAGACGGGCTATCAGAATATATATAAATAGTAGGGGTTTCGATTTTCTAAAGAGATAAAAAATGAAAAATACTGTCAAGGACCGCCCAAATTTTCCTGATTTTCGCTATTTTCGTCAAACTGTATTTGGGGCCGTTCGGAGTCAAAACATACGCAAACCCAGGGTATTTTTTATACCAAAATGATCAGCGCATCGAGCTCTACAAACCCTGAGAGTTTGAGCAAATTCAGAGAAAGTCATGTACAAAGTGGTACGTTTCCCATGGATTCCCCATGACTATCTTCTTTTCACGATCACAAGACGTCATCACGTTCAATAGTTCGTCTAGGTTATTCTCCAGGCCATGATATGGAAACAACAATTTGTTTTTTGGTAGTAACCAGGGTGCAGATTCCATAACTGACGAATTATGACAAATTGTAAACTTTCGGTAGTAATTATGTTGCAGCTCCGAAGAGCTATAGTTCATGTATATTGCACCGCAAATAATGTTCAATATAATCAAGACGACAAATCTTTTATATGTAAGGCGGTACCGCATTTATCTGTATGGAGTATGTATTATTAAAGATCGGTAATGTGAAAGCAATTGATCGGTTCTTTAACAAAAGCATTGCTTTTCGAATAAGATATTATCAAGATATTTTTATCGGCAAATCTTTATTGTAAAAAGAAGCAGTGACCCATGCGGGTATTATCCTTATATAAGAACCACAAAAAGCACTACTCAGGAAGTTTCACAAAACAGATTCAACACCGCATTCCACCAGACATTTAATGCGACTCTTCTATTGCTTTTAGCTCTTTTTCCATTGTAATACTGATCACAAACTTTATTTTCATACGATGTAAAAGTATTTGTACGAGTTAGAAGGCCATCTTTGTGACTAATTTCAAATACCACTTGCAATAGAAAGGTATCACGTTCCCAACTATTTTTTGCTGAAAGAGACTTCTGTGTATTAGAACTTTCGCATCTCGAAACATAGCTGCGTTCTTTACGCCATAATTTCTTTAGCAACGCACGAATGTCTCTATATCAGTGAAGCACTTCCAGTCATGCAGTGGCACTGACTACCATAAAAACATTCCGTCGCTAAGGAGGAAAAGCATGCAAGAAATCTTAACGCATTCAAGCCCTTTGTTTTCACATACGAATTCTAAGAAATAAAATATCGGAATCAGCGGAGTCTGTTGACGATACTCGCTTGCAATGTTTCACCGCTAGATCCACTGTTAACAAATGATTTCTACCTCCTAATAATTGGTGATCAATGCGAGTCAGACATGACGCTCTTATAAGATCGACAGTTTCATAAATACAGAAAAATATTTTGCGTTTGACTCAAAGCAGCGATTTTCACCATCAGGTGACTGTATTTCGTTTTTAGTTGAAAGGCTGTAAACTTACCTATAGTTTTTATTAAACAGATACAGTCGTATATAATCAAGATAACGTAATTATATAAGTAACTTTAAATTGCATTTCAAGTGTTAGGCGATAGAAATCTCATGTTTGATATTTAAATTGATAACGATCTGTGCTCATGATCGTTATCTAGTAACGTCAAATAGTATCGAAAAATCAATTCTTTCAAAATTTATTAGGTTATATACGGATCCTTGGCTCGTTCACATCCATTAAAAGTAACAAAATCGATTACATACAATTTCAGGAGCATATCGGAAGTCGAAAAATGTCGAATTCAACTCGATGTCATTGAATTTCAAAATGGCCTAGGATCAATAATCTTCTACAGGATCTTATATATGGATGGAACATTTTAGAAGCGTTGAATTTTTTTGCCCGCGAGGACAAATATTTTATTTCGACGAATTTTAGCATAGAGCCAACGTATATGTTGGTCCAGGGAAAATCGTGCAGATTTTGTCATGCTATCAATGAATGTTTTTGATTCAGTATACGTTATAACATTACACTAGCACTCTTGAGGTGACATGAGGATGACTGCTTAGTGTGGTATGGATGCATTAAATGTTTGATTAGTAAATAGTGAAAATCTTACATCACTCAAATCAATCGACTAAGTCGTTCGATTTATTAACATATGAAAGCGCTAAAGATACCGGTAGATTAAACAATAACAAAAAGAAAAAAAATACAGTTAATGGGTAATCGCGAGATAATTTAAGTATTCTCGAATAAAAATTCCAATCTTCTGGAACCAACGTGTGCAAAATAAAAGAAACAACTGTAGTACCTTGTATCAATAGCCTAACTAACTTTCAGCATTTAATAATAATCGTTTCCCTTCTCTCATTGAAGTACACTTTTCACATGTTATCAGTTTCTTCTTGATCTGTTTGAAAAAAGATCCCGCTTATCGCGACAAACATGCCTCTTATTCTAGCAGCTATGAATAAAACATCACTAAAATGTAACTTGAGTTGGAATCAGCAGCCGAATATTCATATATATGATGCAATACATTACCAGATGATTGGTTTTTTGTATATGACTTCGAAAAATACCATGTTTGTCTGTGAGTGATTGGCGTTCTTGATCGACGAACTAGTGGCACACAACAGAATGTCGCTTCCACAGCAGTGATTTGTTCAGATGTAAGGGATTGATTATATATAGTGACAGAGTATCCCAAAGTGAGGACAAGCGTTTCATTGTACTCCCAATCAATCCAGACATACCGCTTTAAATAAGAAAAGCTGGTGCTTCGATAAGCCTGATAAAAGCGATTCACGATATCTTCTTTATCCTCACTCACCCACCTAGGCACTGGCGACCACCAAGAAAACATATGATGAATACTAACCAAGCCTTGAATTCCACTTTCGAAATATCCCGTTGCATCTCCACGGATGTCCATCTGATGAAACGTTACATCTCGGGACAGTTGTACTTTCATCACTTCAGTTACACACTTTCCAAGCATCATATCACCGCCAAATAATTCCTTGTACTTATCACAGAAAGATATATTGTGAGCGAGATTCTGCGCAAGAGGCCGACTTAAAGCAATGCCTCCGCCACCATAAGCATAGTACCTGCCAAATCGTTGCATTGATTCAAGATGATCACTATGGTCGCCGAGGTAGATTGGCTTTTCGTAGTTGTAATTGTTTAACGTTCGAAGGAGGTTTGGAATAAACCATAAAGTATCATCATCCCCTATCAACAACCATTTAAATTCTTTGTTTGACGAGCCGTTCTTTTTATTAGCTAATAAACTCCATGTTCGGTTTACTAAGTCGAAAAATCGCTCCACGTATCTATGCGTGAAAGTTATATCTGTCAAACAAGGGATCTGTTCCATTTCAAACAGTTTGCGTACAGTCTCAAGGTTGTTTCTTTCTGTGTGATGGAACGTGACCAAACATTGAATACCTATGTCACGAGCCCAGAATCGTAAGCTACGGATAATGTGCACTAATCTTTCTACAGTTGTAGTGATACCAAAAACCAAATTATCGATTTTATAGCTATATGGTTGTTGTTTAGTTGCGTGTAATGGGATATCTAATTTTGATATGTCTGCTACTAAAGTATGCTGTCGAGAAAACGAGACATTTTGTACAACCGTATGTCTGTTCTGAAAGAGATCTTTCATTGATAACTTCAACATCTTGATAGCATTCATGTTTTTCTTTTCAACGTTCGGTAATTCTTGGCTACGTGGTTGTATAGTTACCTTCTTTTCAATATATGGTACTTTTCTAACAGACTGTTCATTTGCCGCATCCTTTCTTGAGTAAATCCATATCAAGCAGATCACAAGAATGAAAATTAAACTTGTTAGTCGTTTACGCTTCTTCAAAAGCATGTTCTCAATTTAGTTCGTGCTACGAATGTTGGATGGAACTTTAATATAATGCATGTGATTTCGCTAAACAACAGACCAATTCTGGAGTACTTCTTTTAGAATAATTTCATTCACTAAGATTTTAAAGAAAGATATGACGTTACTATTGAAGTGACGATGTCGAACATGATATTATCGAAAAAGACAAGTCGAAATGCAGTAGTGTGAAGAAAGAAAAAAACAACGCTATACGAATGTCAAAAAACCGCTGACATGGGGTAAAAGTTCCAGAAGTGGATATATTCATAGCATAAAACTATCACAAAACATGCTGATGTGCGAGAATTTACAAAGCATATGAGATGAAGCGGTATATTCTATCAGAAGCTTTTCGAAGTTTGCCTTTGATAAAAGCCATCGAAGTAGCAACGTAAGATATAGACCTAAGAAGTGAAATGAACTGCTATGTAGATGTTTTAAATCAGCGGATCAACAGCTATGACGGATCAGAAGATGTATCTTAGACTCAAGAGTGCATGTTATGAGAGCACATGAAAGCCCAAATGAAGTATACGCACCCAAACCCTTATCCATATCCCACGATTGGCTACCACGTTAGGCACAGTTTCATGATGGATATATCATCTTGAAATATTGTGAATTCCATTCATTTGTTCCCTTGATCTTCATGGCTATACCGACAGAGTGAATGTTGCTGCAAACACATTTCTTAGTTTAAAGTGCTGGGGTATTTGGAAAACGAATCGCTCCGATAAGTTTCACTCTTATTGAACCCACTCTTTTTCAGGCACTATGCCAAAGATATATATATTTTCCTACAATTGTTTCATGAGATTTTCCCATGTATGTTAACGAGAAGTGCAACTTCTACACTGGTTGTAACATAGTGCTCACCACAAACTGTAAGCAATTAAAATATTTCGGTTGGCTTTTCTTTTTCGTAGTTAAATATCACCCATTCCGATATAAGACGTGTCGTAGCGATGCTGGAAATCGGGTGAAATTTGTATTTATATGTAAACCTTTTGGACTGATAGATTTACATTTAGATTTTGTTGCGATTGGGATTTAAAATTTATTTAAAGAAGTCGGCTTTAGTCAAACTTGTATTCATGCTAGCTGTGCACTTTCAGCCAATGATTCCTATCCAAAAGCCACAGTTCAACTTTTAAACAAAATGCATTAGATGTGAACCTATTAGAATTTGATGTTTATTCAAAAAAAATTATCTTACAGAAAATTTCTGGTCAATAAATGTTGGTTATATAGACTTTATTTTTCAGCCTGGAAAACCGAGAATAAGCTCCACTTCTAATTGTGAACCCAAGAGTAAATTAAAATGGTCACATCGAATTCTATTATTTAAGCACAAACATATGTAGTGAATTTTTGCGGAAGAACAATAGATGTCATCTTTATTTCTGCCGCTCTGCACAGCATGTATTTTGGGGAAGGCAAGACACCCTGAAATTGTACATGTACCTGGTTCCTGCGCTCAGCATATACGTTCGAAGCATTTTATAAAAATTCCTATAATTCAATAAAATCTGTCCGTGAACACCCTCGTATATGTTTCATATCTGTCATGTATCTCAGAAAACACTCCTGAACGCCACCTTTGTAGATCATTGGAAATTTGGCAAACATAGCAGTTCTTTGCCATTGGATCACGAAGAGGTAATCCGTGAGATCGTAATTACATTATACACAACAATCTCCAACTTAAATAAAACGCCTAGAACTGGTAAATTATTTGCAGATGTTGAAACCTCTAGCGTTAGTTTGATGATTTTTTGTGAGTGGTATATATACCACCTTCATGATTTTGGTGCGTATATCTAGGTAATATTGGAAAACAATACTGTAAGAAGTAGGGCCCAACGGGCAACTACGAATCCTGATTTTTTTGCCAACTTTGATGGAGTGAGGCAGAGATCGAAACGAGCTAACAAGTTTTTTCCCAAAAATGGCTGCTTTATTTCGAGATTCAATCTTTATTTGTTTCACAATTTAGCGTGACCTATTACGACAGTAAAGTATGAAGATGTTCATAATAAATCGACAAAAACAGTTTGATTATAGACAGAATTTGGAATTTTAGCAAACATAGTTTGACGTCATCCTTCCACTAACGAATAACACTACCACGAAATTAGATGTTATTGAGTTACCTCTCATTTGAATTTCGTTGCTAGAAATCATTTTACTACTATTTGAAAGTCGGATTTAGACGGAACCGGGGCGGATTTTTCAAGTAAAATTTCCGGTCGAGATCAGAATCTCGGAAATTATTTTACAAAAGCCGACGTGCTGTCGGATTTTATTCGAGTAGCGTATCATAGAGATCCGGATGCAACAATCCAGTTTTGCCGAATTCTAGTACCCAGCTCAGGCCGTAAAGTGCACGTAAGCCCGAAATCTTGAAAGCTCCTGATCCTGTTTTCAGCAACGTCTGAATTCCGTGACTAACGAACTCATGAGGAATTCAGAATCCTGTTTTTCTATCACAATTAACTTCACTTAAAGAAGTTTTTAACAAACTTGATGCCTTAGACAACTGGCGAGGAGTACTATTTAGATGTAGCACTTCGATTTTATTCATTCATATAGTATTGCACAAGCCATAGTGAAGTAGTAAAAACCTAACAAAATTATTGTCCATTAGCTCATCCCGGAGACGTTATAGTAAATTTAGTAGAATTCTATTCTGCGACGTGACACACTGTAAAAATACCGCACAATAATAAACCATCTTTAGGGGTTTAGTAACCGTATAAGTTACAAGGAAGGATATTTCACATGTTGCACTTTCATATACCCTTAAAAGCTTTATTAACACCATGAGTTTTTGAAAATAGGTTTTCTTTCTTATGGGTTTTTTTAAAGGGTACATTAACAAATGTTGTAAGTGCGTATCAATGCCCATCTACCGATAAAGGGTTTAAGAAAATGTAACGTATAAGAAATAGGATTTATGGGTGGGCGCATTACGTTCATAAACTTGAAAAAGGTTAGTGTCGCGACCATCAATCCTTTTCGATAGTTCATAATTCGACGCTCTTTCACACTGTGTACTTATTACTAGATTATCAAGTGAATTTCATGTGCTTGTATCGAAATCTTTCTCTAGTATGACCATCAAATGCTTTTATATAAGCAAGGAAACTAACTAGAAATGTTGACTCACATTTTGTACTTCAAGATCTGAAGGGAAAATTACGATACGAATACGGCGAAAAGTAATCGTATTTCGATGTTTATCTTGGCGGATTAAAGCAACTTGATTAGATTAGTTGATGCTCTGTTACTTCTTAGATCTGCATCGGCATGAAAACTTTTTTGTTTCATCGAGACAACCTTTATCGGTTCTCATTCACAGGCGCTTCCGTAACAGTTTAATGTTCCCATTAGCATAGAAGTCTCGGATACGCCACCAGATGTGGATGAGCGTAGTTAAGTGAAAGATACGCGCACCTACATTCAAGCTCATATTCTGCTCTCAATATTTACATTAAAGTTGAACAGCCACACTTTCAACAAGACCTATTCAGTATCGAATGAAAATGTTCAATATTTTTACGCACGAACAAATATATGCCACGCTCGTACATTGTGCTTTCGAATATTGCATGCTCTCAGAGAAGGTCACAAACAGCTGGAATTCTGAATCTTAGCTGTAAGACTAAATTGATAAGACTCATTTGTGACAAAATATATCATCGTTGACAATTCAATTTATTGTTTTACTCACTGTGTTGTCTTTTCCTATGAATGCTTCTCAAGTTTCTTAACTTTTACGAACGCTAATAAAACAAATTTAATTTTATTGAAAACAAAACTGACGCACATTTGTATTTACTATCTTCTCGTAATTGACATTATTTGCAAGACCTTCGTTCTCAAGTTGCGAGTCATTTGCTAGTGTGCCTACAGATTCGTGAACAATTTTGAGGATGTATAAACTGATAAAGTTGCTGTTCATATTATGATGCTTGCCCAACCAAAGAGTAATGGTGTTAGCGATAGAGCTCAAAGTGTGATAAATATATGATCATAAATGTTATTTTTCGAATCGTATTCATTTACGATAAAGCCGGAAACAGTTCTTTATCAGTCGAACATATTGTTCCTAATTTCTTGAATCGATGGAACTACGTGGCTCTCAATTGTTGTATAACATTTGTTTAACAACACTAATCAGCATTGACTATCTCTGCCATTGTATTACGTTGATGAAATTCAAGCATTATGTGCACACTTTTGAACTACTTATTTACACCGGGTTCAGAATTTCATCTCAAAGTGAAGCTTAAATAAATAACACGATATGTCTTCAAATATTTGGAAACTGTGGCGCAGTCGCCATGTACATATTTAATGAAAAAAAGATCTACACCAGTAGAACTCTTTAATAGTATTCTACAGAAGTTGATATCATTGCTTTATCGAATCCGCACCTCTCATATGTATCATCCAGATTGTTATATCAACGCTCTATTACAATTTTTTTATGATTAGTTAAAACTATGCATGTGTACCTTTGAAGTAAATTGATTAAAAGGAATGTAGGAATAAAAATTCTCGTGCATTCTCTTCTCATGATTTGCCAGCACACGGCCGTCAGTTGATTACTTCCGGCTTTTAATAAGCAACGCAGAACTTTCCGCAGCCAATCACGAACATGATAAATGCTGTTCAATAACTGTCAGTACATTCACCTCGTCTGTGATTTGTCATGCATAAAAAACAAAAGTCGGAAAAAAGCTTGTTTTTTAACGAAAATAATTTTTTGTCAGGTATTTATGAAATAATCATATTCAGTTTCTCACTAGCCTGCAATATTAGTATTTTCACGTAGTATCTCAATCGAAATCGGTAAGTGGCCATAGCTTTATACTTACATAGAATTAAAGGATTTCACTTTTCCGTTTTGTTCAAAATTTTTACGTAACGACAGTTTATTACGGTTCCGTTGCTCCTAAGAAATTCGTTTAATGAAACTATTTTGTTACAAAGTAAGATTTCATGGCGTCAATGATTTGAAGTAGAGTCGAATAAAATCTTGCACACTCGGCCTGCGTAAAATACATGCAACTGTTCGAAAAAGCTATGAAAGTCGGACAAGCTCAGCATTAATATAACGTGTTCATTAAATTGATGTTCTAGAGAAAAGGTTTATACTCCCGACGATAACATATACACACTGAAGAGTTGGGATCTTGCAGACCTACTTCAGACGTGGGTAAAACTCTGCATTTGGCAGTTCGGCTCAAAAATAAAAGTGTCAAATATCAGATAACTCACGATTACATCCCATGTGTCGCAATATACATTCTTTTTTTTATTAACATATATGGTTTTAAAGTCAATAGAATCTGATTTTATTGTGATCCCGCCGTATATTGAATCATGCAATGTTCTGTGTAAAGATTCTCGCTTATAGGCTCTAATGTAGTCAGCCAAAATAGTGCTTTTCTGTTGAGCACCGTTTTTAGTACTGGAGGCAACATAATCTGATTCAATCGAATGATTTTTCTCGTGCGAAATACTTCCTTTTCAATGCCATCAGTTGTGGCATCTGGAAGATACCGCATTAATATACAGTTCAATCCATTCGGATCTGATACTTTTATTTAAAATAGGTTCAATAGAGGTGATTGTCATAATGTGTACATTTGGACTCTTTTTGAATATTGCATACCAACGCGGTTAAACGATACATAGACACGGTTCGTTGACAAATTGATAGGTTATAAAAACGTCGAACACATAAGCTTTGGGCGCTAAAGCTTCCTCGAGTTGCGTGATGAATACGGAGATGAAGATGAGAATAGAAGTTCCAGCGCGCGAAGACGAATGAACAACCAGATTCTTTTCCCCACTATTTCGCTCGAAATTCTTGAGACGCATCTTGAGGGTGTAATCAAATTAACGTATGAAATTTAGTGATTACCGAAGCTTTGCACATTGAAGACAAGAAAAGGAGCTATGCGACATTATCTTCGTAACGAAATGAAAACCCTTTCGGAACTTCCCTATAAAACAAAGATGCTTTCACTAGAGTTGTTTATAGCTGCCCCATCTTTTTCAATATTTCAACAGTTTTGTACCAAACTCTGAAGAGGTTTATAATTCGTTACAGACTAAACCCCTCCTCATAATAGAAGCCCCCGGGGGCCTCTAATTTGGCTCGCGTAAAAATTTTTTCAAGGGGGCTTCTAATATGTCCCATCACTTTTTGAAAATTTTAGATACCTAAGTTTTCAGGGGCTTTTGACAGATTTGTATGTGATCATAAGCTTTTCGGGGGTTATTACTACTTCTTTACCTCAAAATCTGCTGTTTCCTCAAATTTTACGGTGATAAAGAAATGAAAATTCTGAAAAACTATGTAAAAAGTTTTGAAAAAACAGGGGGCTTTTATTAGGCAAATGTCTTGCTCAGCTCCGAGGGGGCTTCTAATATGAAGGGAGCTTTTAATAGGGGAGGGGTTTACAAACTCCTTGAAAACTTTCATCTGACTGGAAAGATACTTTGAAAAGTCTTTATTTTATACGAAAACCTCTTCAATTTGGACTTGAATCGTTCTTGTTTTCATTGCACTACACTTTCTTTGGCAGTTGAAAATTTGCAACTGTTAAAAAGTGAATGATATGAACCTCATCCGAAGGGCTTCGTTGTTTTGTTAAAAGTAACGCATTCTTTCACCGCGATTTGAAGTATTATCTAGAAAAGCGATTTAAGTTCAAGAGGGATGAAGATGTAAAGTGGTTTGAGTGTATTTTTTCACATTACTTTTTCCTCCAACAGATATCTTTACCATAAACCGACAAGTATTAATGTTCCTTGAAAACATTAGTTCCAGCTGCATTGAAAATTTCGCGTTTCAACTCGCAGTAGCTTGAATCAATAAAAATCGATCAAAATCAGTCCCCTTAACTACAACACTAAGCTCTCAAAGGAATCGATATGAACCTAACATTAGCTAAAAATAGAGCTTCCACTACACATGCGTGCTTTAGCCCATCGGCTATCCGCGGACTTGAATAAATGCGAAGCAAAACTAAGTGATATAGCATTTTCATAAAATAGATTTTTCTTCACCATCACGAAAACTTCTCCAAGCTTTATGTTGTAAAATTTGACAAAAACACCGCTCAAACTGCGTTTTTTATCTAAAAAAGCTAGATAGGCTCGCCGATTCGGTTTAAAATTCGCTTATGTTCGATATTTCAACTAATTCAGACTTCTCACTCATGACATAGATGTCTTTATCTCCAAATCGAGAGTTGAATCCAATAAAAATAAATTGGGTTTGAGAGGCAACCAGATAGCGATCTGTTCGACGGACTTCAATATCTAATCTTGTAAAATCCGTCATCTCCGTTGAAAAAGAAATATGTAAACTTTATAAGCGCATAATAGAAGTCTGCTCAACAAATGAACAATAAAGATATATAAGACATAAAAAAACATCAGATTTCTCTCGTAAAAAGTTGATGATTCAGAACATCAGTTGTGCTGTTTTGGTATATAGTTTTATTCAATTTGTCTCATATCTTTTCAATAAACATTGAGTAATCTACATGTCACAGAAATAGTTGTAAAAACTTCAAAATAGAAAAAAGCTTCTTAAAACTATGCCGTCCAATATGAGCGCCACAAAGTCTTTGAATAGCTCCAAATCCTTCACTAGAACACATTGTGAGAAATGAAAATAGCCACAAAGAGCGACTGTGGTTGATTATGACTGTTTAATGAAACTCACTTACGATCTTTGGACATTATTCGAATGTATATCTATTCATTAAGACTATTATTGTGAACTTGCTTCCTATCATCAGATTTTGCAATATCGTATGCCAAATATATAAGATGTTTCTGTATTTCAAACCTATTAGTGGCAATAGCTCACTAATAAAGTTTTAGATGCGTTTTTTTGTTCATACCGAGGTTAGGGGTACGGCAGCCGGCTGCCACCTTGGTGGCCTCATCCCAATAATCCTCACCCAAAATGAAAGCATTCATCGAATCTGAGACTTTTATCGTAGATCACTCTCAGCGAGAGCTCTACTCTCGAAAACGTTCAAAACCAAAATCGAAGGGAATAGTTGCCACTCAGACGAGCAAATCTATCACGTGATGAATCTTCAACCAGAGCTTACACAGTAAAATCAGTATGAAATATAATTTACGTTTCTTAAAAATTTTCTTCTATGAAAAGGCGGTCAAGAGTTTGTGACTAGCGGCGTAAACAGAATTTGACGAGTGATTGGACGCCGCCCTGTCGATTTTTCAGGCCTTTTTTCATAAGATGTGGCATTACTGTTCCGTATTAGAAACGTAGAATATGCATTTACAGGATGTAAAAAGCCCTCAGTGCAATCTCTGCCACAATTTAAAATGTGAAACACGATCAGTTTAGTGTGTTTGTTGTCATGGGGTTTGGTAGTTAGTCTGCTTGTATGACGATCACCTATATGAAGGACGAGATGAAACCTTTTCCCTCAAACCCTAAACTCGTTCCGTATTTGAAAATCTATTACGGCCTTTTTCAAAATGGGCTTTGTGCGAATCTGCCAGAGATGTGTTCAAGCACATGTCAAAACGATATATGAATAATATCATTGCATGCCAATCCGATTTTTCAATTGAAATGCGACGTCCAACAGCACGTTGTAATATTTTGTCATTTAGGTAAAGTCTCGCAGAATTGTCCCGAACCCGGTAAGCTTAGGGACGATCCGAGAAAAAATAGGGTCTAGACAATCCGGCCGAAGCTTAGCGTGGCTGCTGATTAAGTTTTTATGCGACAACTTGACAGGAGATTATTGTATCTATTGATACCTTCGTTGATGGTTACATTGAATCTAACGATTAACTCTCTAGCGCAAGGAGATAAGTCCGAATATTTACCTATAATAAGTCACCACTCGCTTTCAAATCGTGTTTCACAAAAAGCAGATAGGCGAGTTTTCGGAATTTTCTCTTAACTCTTCCAACTATTCGTATTGTTAATAGAAAAAAGGTGCGCGTGAGAACTCGTGTATTCGAAAATGTTCCAAAAAACGAAATATTTCTAAAAAATTTGTAGAAATCCCAGAACAGTAAAAAAACTTACAAAAACTAGGAAATGCGGAAGAATCCCAAAACCCGTTTTATCTCCGGTTGAAATATTTTTTAGTGAGCTTGTCGTTTCCGACTAGTGTGTACTATGAAAAACAAATACAATTATTATGTACGTCAGAATCAAAGCTAGACAACGTTCACAGTAACTAAAGTTTATTCAAATGGCTTCGAATATTTTTCAGAATTTTAAACCACGGGAACTTCGCTGTTTCTTCCCTGTGTATGTATCTTGAAAATAGTTTAGAAAATGATATCTCACTCGTTCAATAAAAATATGTATATGACATATTTTTACTTCAATGAGATTAACGGAAGACAAGTGGATTTGTCGATTTTGTTAGCTCTAGTACTCCCTAGTGAACTCTGATGATTTCTCTGACATCAGCATAGTTCATCGAAAATCATACAAAATGGTCAGAATTTTACGGTGATCTTCGATGATTTCAAACTGGTTTGTATTAGTACAAGTCAGTTTCTTTTGCCTTGATCTCATTATACAGGTCTATCATATCTAAGAAAATACAGGAGTTGTAACGGTAATCTGGTTGAGTAGCTAACCGCTTCTCCAGGTATAGATGTTTATTGCCTACTCTACATGACCAGAATGTGCCTGTTTCACAATAAGACACGCGCTTATATAGAAAAGAGGAAAGAGAGAGATGACCCGGAGAAAGTATGATATAGAGGTGAAAGAATAAAGAACAGAAAGAGACGAACGATATCATTATCCTTATAGGAGTGAATATGAAATATCATTATTTTATTACGTCCACCTTCACAAAAAGCTAGTTTCTGAGAAATGTTCGGTGATTGAGTGGCGCTCAATCTAATCTGCTCTTGGTTACACCGCTAATAAGTTCCATTCAACCAGTCGAAAGAAACCGAAAGATATTCGTGCACATTGTCTTTCTCCGGTTTTGTGTATACACTTCGTCTTTGTGTTTCATCCAGCAAAAGTAAAACAGTTGCTAGCTGGTGTTATGACATAGAGAAAAAAACACCCTCAGGGTAAAAAATTTCAATTTTTAGTATAACTCTTCCATGCCGTACCAGTTGTTACATATTTAAACAGAGCAACAGCTCCGCTCAATTTCGAATGTTGGTATAGAAGAAATTTATATTTCTTCAACGAACTTCTCTCATATGAGACTCATTTGTTAGGAGCGGAACTATCGGTGTATCATCAATTCATCGGTTCGAAAAACCCTGAAGGCTTAAGTATATTTGGGGAAGGTCGTGCTCCAAGTGATATGTTTCCTACGGATTCACTGAAACTGATGTATTGTGAAATTTGCTATGACTTGAAGTCTCAGTGTGTAGCCTCCATGCGGTGCAAGCAAAAGACGGAAACATATTCATCAATCTTTGTAAGACCTTTCGCGGTGCACTGTACAATCCAATAAAAGGAACAGTTTTGAAAAGTCTTTCACCGTCTACATAGAAAGTAGCCTATAATCTGACGACTATCTATCCTTTCGAAAGCAGAAACTGATATAAAAAGAGACAACATTTAACGAGAGCGTTTGTTTATTAATGACATCCTAGTGCACACGGACAATCTGTCCACCCTGTATATAACAGTGTGATCACAAGAGAGGCGTGACTTCTATATCGGGAACGCTTTTGAAAAATGCCGATAGTATGTCATTGGGGAAAACTATGACTTATACTCTCAAGACAAAGGACGGCCATCGCAAAAGAAGGAAATCCACGACGTATTGTAAACGAAGCGATATACAGGCATACTGTTGCATAACAAGACACCACCGAAAGTGCGTTGAGGAATAAGAAAACAGAAATATAAGCGATAGGTAAAAATAGAGTGTATATGTTTATTTACTAAGCACTGAGTGTCACAGTAGTATATTTTCATTCTAATATATATTCTACTCATTTTGTTGAGTTTCGTATGTCCATAATAGTATGATGAACACGTGGTCTCTTTCTGTAAACGCTATATTATCTACTCGTCTTCTTCAGCTTGCAGAAATCCGCAAGTAAATGCGAAAGAAAAACAACACATAGCACGTATTATGACCACGCCAGCTTTGGACTACTACATATAACTAATTTTCAATGATTTCGATTGTAAAAGTCAAGCCGTTTGGAAGTTTGAACTAGGTACAACTACCAATGATTGAATAATATTTGAATGTCTTCGAAAGTGAAAGGGTCATGCAAGAGAATACAAAGAGAAGGTGTGCACTGATAGAGTAGAAAGAGGTGACAACGTAATACTGAAACCGACATGAGCAATTGTCTTTTGAAAACATGACCGAAACACCTCGTCATAAAACTTGGAATTCACATCCATTCATTCGAGATAATGCCAGAAGAAATCAAGTATCACTTTTCCTAGCAAGGAAAATACTCTTATGGGTTAAAAACCAGCAGTCTTTCAATTGTGCCTTAGCCATATGTTCTTGAGTTATCAAATATGATTGAGAAGAAGCAACCGTAACGTACACATTAAATTCGCTATCCATTTGATGACAAATTGAAAACACTACGACTTATTGCGAAACGCACAAATACACATGAATAGAAAAACCAATTCAGTAGAGTGAATTCATGTTTATAACGAAAATACAGACCAGACACTCTTATATTGAAAGTCCTCGAAACCGCACAAGAATAATAGAGGTCAATATCTATGTATATGGTTGACTCAAGATTTGCCAGTTCTTTTCAATTTTTTCAAATGTCGCACTTTTAAATGTCGATAATTCTCATGTTCAAAGAATGATGGAAATGTTAACAAATACTGTTAAAAACGTATTAATTACTACATCAGACGAAATACAATTCAAGAAATCCATTCATCATTCTGTTTGATAACCGATGTGGGAAATGCTTTTCTTGTACTCACCTTTAGTAGTGCAAATCGCTGCTATTCTGCTATCAAAGTCGTATGAATATCCTATAAGTAGAAAGCAAACTAGGAACGGGAAAGCGTTCGATAGTCTCTATGCGCATCGTAATAACTTTCTTCCATCACAAGAAAAATCGCTCCCACAAATGGCTTTTATTAAGCAAAATTGTTGACGATGAATAGTTTAATCCAGCAATATTAGATTTTTCTTCTCATAAATAATACTGCTCTACACGATTGATCTACATAATATATTCATCTGAAAGCGTTTCCATAGAGATATTCAATTGAAGATTCAAAATAGTTGAGAACTAATTATTTTTCGAATTCGATATGTCAAGTTTCGATCCTATGACGCTCACTGGCACACTATTGATAGTAAAAATTCGAGTGCAAACACTGGTTTGAAACTAAAGCATTCCTGATAGATATTAATAGAAGTAGTACATGGTCCTCTATGTGTTTATATGATAGTTTCAGCTGAAGATATTTTACCAATACACTGTAGTAGAACGAAGACAAGTGGGTGCCAGTCTAGCTTTTTGGCAATATTCTAAAAATTCAATGGCGCTTTTCGAGGTAACCAGTTCTATTCTAGACTGGTTTTCGATTTTATTCAGTGTGGAAACCAACCGCCGAAAACATGTATCAAACCATTCCATTTGTAGGCCGTTTTTTCATCTTATCAATGTCTAATTCGTCAAGAATAGTCAAACTAATTCGATAGAACTGTATCTTGACGGTAAAATCTGGCTAAGAATCGCTGCGCATCCATTGGAATGTACCATAGAAAGTTACATTTTTCCTCTCAGACTAGCAGTTCAAGAAGGGTGTTGCAGCCACTTCTTGATTATCATTACAGCTAAAATTTTTGTATTGTATTTAGAGCTAATAAAAACTCATAAATATTTACACATACTTGATTTGCGATCGACATTATAATGGCCTCCAGCGGTGACAGCATTGATAAGCGAAGTATGTTCCACGATATAGCAGAATTATCGGCTATCTTTGAAAAAACGTTTAGGTTGCCCAGATAAAATTGAAAAAGAGCCAACAGAGCGATTTATTCCTGGAATCACGGTAAAATGCTGATAGCGAATCACTTATAATCACATCTGATAACACTTCTATTAAGGATAAAAAAACTAATCCAAGCGAAATTGAAAGATTGATAAGACAACGAGCCGTAATGGAGCAACTCAATGAATTTAAAGCGCGCGGTGCGGAAATTCGGTGTGATACTGGTCCACGAGCACCGGTTCGACACGGTGGGTAATAGAGACAAGGTTTGTAGCAACGCTTTTGAAAACTCTTCTCGATGTTTAGATGCATCGGCTGGTGAGAGTCAACATGTTCACACGTCAAAATCCATCATACTCGAAATAACATCTACAGAAATCATGGAAGAAAACGAAGAGAGCCGAGAGCGATTTCCGGTGGAGAACGGCCGCCACTCAGAGACATTTTCTGGATCCGACGCATCCATGACGCATCCATCTCGAGGCGCTATTGTGGACACTCCAACTGTTGGCGAATCTCTCAAGGATTATATGCGCCGGCGAAAAGAAGAAGAGGCTCTAGAATACAAACGTCGACGTGCTGCCCGTGGTTCCATGTGGGACGAAACGGCAAGCGACGACGGTGAGGGTGGGCATTCGCGACCAAATGTTTTACGAAAACAGAGATCTAAATCTGTTAGTAACATAACAGAGATAAAAGGTGCCCGCCCTCATCCACTGATGAACACTAACGCCGAACCACATGAAGCCACACCGGGCAGCACAGAACGTGAGCAAAGAAACGTCCTCAACTACAACATGCCGGCCGAAAANGTCAGGGTCCTTTTATGTCACGCTGTTACGCGACACTAAAATGATCGCAGAAATACAAGAGCTCAAGCGAAATCTTTGATTTTTTTATGATTGATAGAGTTTAACGAGCTGCATCTATGAGCGTTTGAACGAGATCCGTAACTTTTATAGTCTTCGAGAAAATCGAAAAATACTTTGTCAAAATGTCACAACGTTACGTTTGGACAAGCCGTGCACATTGAAGGGTTTTGGATCTTGCAGACCTACTTCAGACATGGGTAAAAATCTGCATTTCGCGGTTCGGCTTAAAAATAAAAGTGTTAAATATCAGATAACTCATGATTACATCCCATGTGTCGCAATATACATTCTTTTTTTTATTAACATATATGGTTTTAAAGTCAATAGAATCTGATTTTATTGTGATCACGCCGTATATTGAATCATGCAATGTTCTGTGTGAAGATTCTCGCTTTTACGATCTAATGTAGTTAGCCAAAATAGTGCTTTTTTGTTGAGCACCGTTTTTCAGTACTGCAGGCAACATAATCTAATTCAATCGAATGATTTTTCTCGTGCAACCTACTTCCTCTTCAATGCGATCGGTTGAGGCATTTGGAAGTTACCGCATTAATATACAGTTCAATCAATTTGGATCTGATACTTTTATTTAAAATAGGTTCAATAGGGGTAATTGTCATAATGTGTACATTTGGACTCTTTTCGGATATTGCATACCAATGGGGTTAAACGATACATAGACACGGTTCGTTGACAAATTGATAGGTTATAAAAACGTCGAACGCATAAGCTTTGGGCGCTAAAGCTTCCTCGAGTTGCATGATGAATACGGAGATGAAGATGAGAATAGAAGTTCCAGCGCGCGAAGACGAATGAACAACCAGATTCTTTTCCCCACTATTTCGTTCGAAATTCTTGAGGCCCATTGTTGGGTGTGATCAAATTAATGTATGAAATTTAGTGATTACCGAAGCTTTGCACATTGAAGACAAGAAAAAGAGCTATGCGACATTATCTTCGTAACGAAATTAAAACCCTTTCGAAGCTTCCCTACAAAACAAAGATGCTTTCACTAGAGTTGTTTATAGCTGCCCCATCTTTTTCAATATTTCGACACTTTTCTGCCAAACTCTGAAGAAATTTATAATTCGCTACAGACTAAGCCCCTCCCCATGATAGAAGCCCCCGGCGGCCTCTAATTTGGCTAGCGTAAAAAGTCTTGCAAGGGGGCTTCTAATATATCCCATCATTTTTTGAAAATTTTAGATACTGAAGTTTTTAGGGGTTTTTGACAGATTTGTACGTGATCATAAGCTTTTTTGGCGTTATTACTACTTCTCTACCTCAAAATCTGCTGTTTCCTCAAATTTTACGGTGATAAAGAAATGAAAATCCTGAAAAGCTCTGTAAAAAGTTTTGAAAAAACAGGGGCTTTTATTAGGCAAATGTCTTGCTCAGCTCCAAGGGGCTTCTAATATGAGGGGGGCTTTTAATAGGAGAGGTGCTTCTATTACAGGGAGGGGCTTACAAACTCCTTGAAAACTTTCATTTGACTGGAAAGATACTTTGAAAAAGTCTTTGTTTTATACGAAAGCCTCTTAAATTTGGACTTGAATCGTTTTTGTTTTCATTGCACTAAGCTTTCTTTCGCAGTTGGAAATTCGCACCTCTTAAAAAGTGAATGATATGAACCTCATCCGAAGGGCTTCGTTGTTTTGTTAAAAGTAACGCATTCTTTCACCGCGATTTGAAGTATTATCTAGAAAAGCGATTTAAGTTCAAGAGAGATGAAGATGCACAGTGTTTTGAGTGCATTTCTTCACATTACTTTTTCCTCTAACAGATACGTTTACCTTTTCTATAAACCGACAAGTATTGATGTTCCTTGAAAATATTGGTTCCAGCTGCATTGAAAATTTCGCGTTTCAACTCGAAGTAGTTTGGATCAATAAAAATCGATCAAAATCAGTCCCTTTAACTACAACACTAAGCTCTCAAAGGAATCGATATATAGCTAAAAATAGAGCTTCCACTACACATGCGTGCTTTAGTCCATCGGCTATCCGCGGACTTGAATAAATACGAAGCAAAACTAAGTGATATAGCATTTTCATAAAATAGATTTTTCTTCACCATCACGAAAACTTCTCCAAGCTTTATGTTGTAAAATTTGACAGAAACATTGCTCAAACTGCTTTTTTTATCTAAAAAACTTAGATAGGCTCACCGATTCGGTTTAAAGTTCGCTTATGTTCGATATTTCAAATAATTCAGACTTTTTCGCTCATAATATAAATATTTTTATCTCCAAATTAACAGCTGAGTCCGATAAAAATAAATTAGATTCAAGAGGCACCCAGACAGAAATCTGTTAGACGGACTTCAATATCTAATCTTTTAAAATCCGTCATCTGCGTTGAAAAAGAAATATGTAGACTTTAGAAGTGCATAATGGAAGTCTGTTCAAAAATGGACAATAAAGATATATAGGACATAAAAAAATCCTCAGATTTCTCTCGCGACAAGTTGATGATTCAGAACATCAGTTGTGCTGCTTTGCTATATAGTTGTATTCAATTTGTCTCATATCTTCTTGATAAACATCAAGTTATCTACTTGTCAGAAATAATTGTAAAACTTCAAAATAGAAAAAAGCTTCTTAAAACTATGCCGTCCAATATGAGCGTCACAAAGTCTGTGAATAGTTCCTAGCCTTCTACCCGAAAAAAATCATGAGAAAGGAAAATAGCCACAAGGAGCGACTGTGGTTGATTGTCATTGTTTAATGAAACTCACTTACGATCTTTGGACAGTATTCAAATCCATGTCTATTCATTATAACTACTATTGTGAACTTGCTCCCTATCATCAGATTTTGCAATATCGTATGCCAAATATATCGTGACACGACATTTCCGCGTGCGACATTACGGCGCACGTGGAAAATAAGAGTGAGGGCGCCGCGGTAATGTCGTGGTACCCTGAAGTTACAGATACGGTAGCCGGCTGTCGCCTTCGTGGCCTCATCCAAGTATTTCTGTCCGAAAATAAAAGCATTGACCGAACCTGAAACTTTTATAGTAGATCACTGTCAGCGAGAGCTTTGTCTTTAAAAAGCTTCAAAACAAAAATTGGAAGTTATGGTTTGCTACTCAGATGAGTAAATTTATCTGATGAGAAATCTTCAGCCAGAACTTATACAGTTACATCAGTTTGTCATACAATTTGCATTCCTGTCTCGTATAATAAACGTACAATATGCATTTACAGGATGTAAAAGGCTTTCAGTGTAATCTCTGTCAGAGTCCAACATGTGAAACACGATCAGTTTAGTGTGTTTGTTGTCATGGGGTTTGGTAGTTAGTCTGCTTGTATGACGATCACCTATATGAAGGACGAGATGAAACCTTTTCCCTCAAACCCTAAACTCGTTCCGTATTTGAAANGACATTTGCCTAATAAAAGCCCCCTGTTTTTTCAAAACTTTTTACATAGTTTTTCAGAATTTTCATTTCTTTATCACCGTAAAATTTGAGGAAACAGCAGATTTTGAGGTAAAGAAGTAGTAATAACCCCCGAAAAGCTTATGATCACATACAAATCTGTCAAAAACCCCTAAAAACTTCAGTATCTAAAATTTTCAAAAAGTGATGGGACATATTAGAAGCCCCCTTGAAAAAATTTTTACGCGAGCCAAATTAGAGGCCCCCGGGGGCTTCTATTACGAGGAGGGGTTTAGTCTGTAACGAATTATAAACTTCTTCAGAGTTTGGCAGAAAAGTGTTGAAATATTGAAAAAGATGGGGCGGCTATAAACAGCTCTAGTGAAAGCATCTTTGTTTTATAGGGACATAAAAAAGTCATCAGATGTCTCTCGCGACAAGTTGATGATTCAGAACATCAATTGTGCTGTTTTGGTATATAGTTTTATTCAATTTGTCTCACATCTTTTCAATAAACATCAAGTAACCTACATGTCAGAAATAGTTGTAAAAACTTCAAAATAGAAAAAAGCTTCTTAAAACTAGGCCGTCCAATATGAGCGCCACAAAGTCTTTGAATAGCTCCAAATCCTTCACCAGACCACATTGTGAGAAATGAAAAGAGCCACAAAGAGCGACTGTGGTTGATTGTCATTGTTTAATGAAACTTACTTACGATCTTTGGAGATTATTCGAACGCATGTCTATTCATAATGACTATTATTGTGAACTTGCTTCCTATCATCAGATTTTGCAATATCGTGTGCCAAATATATAGGATGTTTCTATATTTCAAACCTATTACTGGTAATAGCTCACTAATAAAGTTTTATATGTGTTTTCTGTTCATACCGAGGTTAGCGGTACGGCAGCCGACTGCCACCTTTGTGGCCTCATCCCAATAATCCTCACCCAAAATGAAAGCATTCATCGAATCTGAGACTTTTGTAGTAGATCACTCTCAGCGAGAGCTCTACTCTCGAAAAGGTGCAAAACCAAAATCGAAGGGAATAGTTGCCACTCAGACGAGCAAATCTATCACGTGATGAATCTTCAACCAGAGCTTACACAGTAAAATCAGTTTGAAATATGATTTACGTTTCTTTAAAATCTTCTCCTATGAAAAAGCGGTCAAGAGTTTGTGACTAGCGGCGTAAATAGAATTTGACGAGTGATTGGACGCCGCCCTGACGATTTTTCAGGCCTTTTTTTATAAGATGTGGCATTACTGTTCCGTATAATAAACGTAGAATATGCATTTACAGGATGTAAAAAACCCTCAGTGCAATCTCTGCCACAATTTAAAATGTGAAACACGATCAGCTCAGTGTGTTTGTTGTCACGAGGTTTGGTAGCTAGTCTGCTTGTATGACGATCACCTATATGAAGGACGAGATGAAGCCTTTTCCCTCAAACCCTAAACTCGTTCCGTATTTGAAAATCTGTTACGGCCTTTTCAAAGTGGGCTTTGTGCGAATCTGCCAGAGATGTGTTCAAGCACATCTCAAAACGATATATGAATAATATCATTGCATGCTAATCCGATTTTTCAATTGA